TCAAAAGTACTATCAATGGTATCATTGATGAGGACAGTAGTCATACCCGAAGCCACAGCACCGGTAATACCAGTCAACGAGTCCTCAAATACCACACAATTGTGCGGCGATTCCGGCGGCGATGCAAACCGTTTGGCGCACACATGATATACATCGGGCGCCGGTTTGTTATGCCTCACATCGGGATCGTCTTCACCGCATACACAGTGTGTCATATATTTATTAATAAATGGCATTAAATGACTGACACCAGCATTAGATGATTGCGTTGACCCATTGGTTGCGATAGCCATCGGTATGTTGTGTTTATTTAGATGTTTTACTAGCCGTTCAATGCCTGGCATAATAACTGTTGGATGATTTTTAGCCTCTTTAATAACGAGTGCCATAAAATCATTTGCAGGTATATTCAGGTCCAGTGAATTGCATGTCTCGGCCATAAAGTTGGGCAAACTTTCAAATTCGCTGAGTTTGTCTATGGGTTTTAATGATTATAATTATTTAATTAAAATTAGTTTTATTTATACTTAATGTGTTATACTTCTGTCATGACAAATATATTGTTTTCCAAAGTACCTAGCTGATATTTCAATGGCCTTGATCATAGTGTCCCGGTGCTCAATTAGAGTGCCACCTAAATCAAATATAACGTGTGTTGCTGTATTTGTTGCCATTTGTTATATACAATAGCTTAATAACTTATTTTATTTTAAAATATATTATTTTTTTGCAACCAATCTGGTTTGACTTGATAATTAATTAATTTTCTATTTTTATTAAAATAAAATTTTACAAATTAATTATTAAACTAATTCAACAATTTAAACTCAATTTCATAAACGTAATTAAAAATAATTATCATCATTTTATTTTAAAAACTATTAATTTCACATTCATGTTTAAGTGATTATTTAAACGATATCAATTAAATAAACATCATTTGACTAATCAGTTCTAAATATTTATATTACAATAACAAGTTAATGGATATAAATATTTAAATAATAAATATAATAATAAATAACATTTATAAAGCTTAGAATTTATAACAAAGCATTTTATTCAAAATAAAAGTATTTATCATATTTTAATCATAACATAAATATGAGTTAATCATAAGCCGGTAATCCAACGTTTTCGGGTCTAAACTCATCAATGCTTTTAGAAATTGCCGTCACTTTACTCACAATTTCATCAAAACTACTATCGATAGTATCATTGATGAGGACAGTAGTCATACCCGAAGCCACAGCACCGGTAATACCAGTCAACGAGTCTTCAAATACCACACAATTGTGCGGCGATTCCGGCGGCGATGCAAACCGTTTGGCGCACACCTGATATATATCGGGCGCCGGTTTATTAGGGAACTCCTCGTCGTCGCCAAACACATAGTGTGTCATATATTTATCCAAATACGACAATAAGTGTCCGCAACTATAGTTAACTATCTTAACTGACCCACCCGTGGCGATAGCCATCGGTATATTGTGTTTATATAGATGTTTTATTAGCCGATCAGCACCTGGGATTAGTTCAGCTGGTTTAAGACAATACTCCTTATTCACAATTGCCGTTAATTCATCATGGGTCATTTTCAGGTCCAATGAAGTGCATATATCGGCCATAAACTCGGGAACATTTACTATCTCTCGTAGTATATCTAGATAGTTATATTATAAATTGATCTTAATTAATAAAATAATTTATTAATACGGTAAATTGTACTCACTTTTCCCAGGGTTAACATATGATTTGCCAAAAGTATTAACTACCTTATCAACGCACTGTATATAATAGTCAAATACGTCGATCAAGGTACCACCCAGATCAAATATTACATGTGTCGCTGTGTTTGCGGACATCTTAGTTTGTTATTCTTTTCAATACCTTTAACAAATATGTTTTTAAATAATGATTTTTATTTATTTTTAATTAAATATTTAATTTAACACACATTTGATGTATATGATTTTATATTTAATATTGAAATAAATAATGATTTTATTATTATAATGAATAAATATTTAAACATAAATGTGTAATTATAAGTCATTTAAATCGTGATCACGTAGCGTTTCATACGAGGGATTTCTGATTAACTGATGCTCAATATTAAGCACATGGTGATTGATACTCTTGCGATCATTAGTCGTATAATTTGGACCATCATGGTAATTATTGATATTATTATTACTATTACTTACATTATTATCATCACTTAATTCGTCGGCAATAATATTAGCTAGTTTAAAATCCAAATACTTTGAATCGATCGAGTTGTAATTTCTATCATTACTAACATTACTACTACAATAGATATCCGATTTACCACTCGCTGTCCTAAACGAGTGGTCAACACTGCGGGCCCGCCGGAGTCGCAGCACACAGACTACCATCGCTATAATTACCCCAATAGACAGACAGCATACCAGCGCCAACAGTAAGGCGCTGATCTCGATCTCGGTCAGCTCACTGCCACCGGAGCAACTTTGCAATTCATTACGGTTAAAACACAGGGTTAATCGCTGACTGTGATCGGGGTTTAGACACGGGTTGGTTAGGTTTGATGTGCCGATGGACTTGTGAGCGGTGGGAGACGTGTAGACAATGCGGTCGCGAACCCACGTCCTGTTACCCGAACAGTGGATCATGTATTCGCTGATGAGATCCGTGTCGTGATGGCACTCATTGATGAATATGTAGTCACCCGTGTTGTTGACCACAATGTGGTAGTTTTTGTAGTGACTTTTTTCCTGGCTGTAGGTCTTCAGGGGTTGGCAGTAACTGCTGTTTTCGTCGCCAGTGATCATGGTAATTAAAATTTTTATTTAGATAGTAGTTATACTATGTTTGTTTTATTACACTGTATTTGTTTTGTTAAAATGTCTGTAATTTTGTGTTTTTAATGTATTTTTCAAGTTTTGTAGAATTTGTTTTGTGAAATATCAGGAAATTACATGAATTTTCACCGGAACTTTTGGCGACAAATACTTTCCTATTATATAGAATTGGTTTTATTATTATAGCTATATTTAGTCATAGGCATAAATTTTAATTAATGTCATTTTAATCCCACATATTTTGTAAAAATATATTAATACCATGTATGATTCACTAATAATTAGTGACTAATTCTGTGTTTGTTATATAATTTCTGTATATTATTTGCAATATTAAAGTATTGTCTGATTTACTGTTCAGTATTTCTTATTGTATTATGTTTTATGACTTTTATTATCAGATCTGTAGTTGAATTAAGTCTCTCTCTCTCTCTCTCTCGCTCTCTCTCTCTCTCTCTCTCTCTCTCTCCACCGCAAAGATATATAAAGTTTACAAACAAACTCCTAATGTTATTAACCATCACTTCCTACTTAATAATAAAGCAAATATAATAAATAAATGAAATAGATGGAAATTTTTTACTGTAATAAATGTTAAGCAAACATGCTACAATTAACAACTAAATGAAATCATCACTCTTATTTTTCGATTTAATGTACGCTATATTAAATTCATAATAATTTAATAAACGTAATTCAAATGTTGGGAAAAATGACAGTGTATTACAGTATAACCCAATCTTGCAGCAGTTCGGACTATCCTTAGTATAAATAATGTCGCTGTCATAATTTCTGGGGGCGAAAAACACAGACTTTTAGCCCCCTATGATTTTTATGTATTATTCGATAAATTTTATTACAAATTTCTAAATAAAACCTATTAGGTATAAAAATTAACAAGATTCTGTTCATACAAATAGCACTAATATACTGAAAATGGCCGGTAAGTGGCCCATTACTAAAATTACTATTAATTTAGCATTTCCCATAGATTTAACATTATGCCATAGGATTAACATTAGTTTCAAGCATAATAACGATACATATTAATAGTATAAACAAAATATGCAATAATATTCATTTAACAATGCTTTAAAAATTAAATTTTCAAAATACTATAATTAAACGCACTTTGTAAAGATTATTAATTCTTTGAGCAATACCCCAATTGTGGTTAACGTATACTATAACCCAACGGAAACATGAATTCATTAATAATAATAAAAATATAACAATTATTAAATATCCCATTTTGCAGTCCATTTATAAATTTATTAATTATAAAGTTAATTTATAAAATATATTATACTATGCCACATGATAGCTAACTATCACCCTAGGGAAATAAAATGCCTTTGTTATAATTACCCGCAATAAATCACTAATGATATGTGTTGTAAAAAACATTTTATTAATATACAAAAATATACAAAACTTTATACTTTATATACTGTACATTACAAAAAATACAAACTTTAACTTTAATGAAACATTAAAATATTATTTAAAAAATACACAATAAAAAAAGTGACCAAGATCGCATTACAAGCTAAGACCTGATCCCTCAATAGTAACAATGATATCGTGACACTTCTCGATCACCGATTGGACCTTCTGTTGCAGCTCTTCGTCAAACTCGTCAAAATCCAGACCATTACAGGACTCGTGAATACCGGTCAGCACTCGGAGCACATGGCGGGAGATTACGGTACAGAATGTGATAATCTGTTGATCGCCGCTAAGTATACACTCGTCGATAAAGTCGGCCATTTTGTCGGCGAATACACCCAATATGTTGGCCATACGGTCGCACCACTTGTCCAGATCAGCCACATCGGTGGCCGACGTGATCATGGCGTTCAACGTGGTCTCTAAATTGTTCATGATGTTTCTGGTCACGATGGTTAAGTGACCTAGCAGGTTTTGGGCGATCGTACGATTCAGGGCGTGTTTCCCGGTGAGCAAGGTGATGCATTTGTCATAGTAGGCTGTGAACGTGGTATTCAGGGTTAGTTGTGTTGTTTTTATGAACGATCTAGCTCATATTTTTTTGAATTATTTACCTGTTAGTGTTTCACACTCGCTGTTGCAGGCAATGGTTAAGCCGATTGTGATTAGCATAAAACTCGCGACTAAATAGACCCTCATGTTTGCGATTCGTAATTAAAGTAGTTGCCTTATACTTCATTTAAATATAAAACACCGAGTTATTTAATTATTGACTATGTTTACTAACTAATAACTTAATTTAGTAGTATTTTAATAAATGTAAAACTGACTTGGTAGATAATAGTTTTGATAAAAATTTATTTTTGACTCTTTCACCATCATTTTCAACGGTTTATATAAGAGAGTTGAGATGTTTTATCCGAAATACTTATCTTTTTATTATTTACCTCAATATTATTAACCACAATTCTGTATCAAATAACGTTGTTTATAGAATCGTTTGGCTAACACCTCCCAACCCTATGGGAAATAACATTAAATCCCAGCTAATGTCTATGACTATGCCTTAACATAGGGATAATGTTATTCAATAGGTATTGTTAATCCTATGGTCTAATGTTAAGTATGAGGACAACATTAATCTATTTGACTAATGCTAAGTTTATGAAAATGCTAAATCTATAGAGAATGCTGATATATTCTTTGAGTATCACCCGAATAGTAGTTAAAGTATAGTGATTTGTAAAACTTGTTTTTTGTTGCAATATTTTTATGGGTTTTTTATGGTTATCTTAAAAATAATATATTTATTATTATCTAACAAGTATATTGTAAGTATTTATTATTTATTATCATTGATTTACAATATAAAAACAACAGGTTAAATTTTTGTTTTGTAAATAATGTTTGTAACTGGCAACTGTAAATTTAATTCAATTTACATTATGTAATATACGAGATTATTTTATTTAGTTTAATTCGGTTCTTTATGTTCATTTTAAATGTAATTAAAATTGGAGTAATTATAGGTAATTAAAAATTTTATAAAAATATAAAATAATTAATTTATACCATTACCCAGGTAAACCATAGTTATTATCACACATGATTTATTATGCTAGCCTGTTGTTAATGTTATATAATTCGGTTATACAAAATAATTTCGCAAAAACATTGCATTTTGTATAATAAGTGACATTAAAATTGATATTGAAATTCAATAATTTATATGCAAATCAATGATAATTATATAATTTATTTAATAATTTATTACTTGAAAAATACAACGTTTACATACTTATCAAGTCTATACATAGCGTTTATAATAACTTATCATGTCTAAATAACAGTTTTTGAGTTGAGATTATTATATTGATTGTTCACAAAATAAAACTAAACACTGACTATTAAACAAAGCATATAAAATAAGTAACTAATTAAGTTATATAAATATATTTTAAAAATAAAATCAGCGTTGTCAATTTCTAAAACACAGACACTGGACAGAGGCCTGGACTAAATCGTAGGCACACCGGCCAAAGTCATAGGTGTTAACGGCAGCACAGGTGCCATTACACGGGTCCTCATTACAGGTGTAGATACACAGCCGGTACCGGTTGGTAGGCCTTTGACAACCCGTGTAACTAAACACACCGGTAGGTCCCGGCGCTACACTTCTCTGACACCTTTGCTGATCGTTTGCATTGCACGCACCGTTCACCTTAACTATATGGGTAAATATATAAGCATGGTACATTAGATTGTATTTATATTATTCATATTCAATAGTAATTACCCTTTGTTAAAATTGCTAAAAATAATAGCAATACAAATATTAAAATTTTTAAACACATTTTAAAAATTATAATTATTAATTAACTAATTTTTTTTAGAGTTCCAGCTAGTTTTATAGTTAACTTATTTTATATACAGTAATCGGAATGTACTAAAAACTTATGCGCTAGGTTAGAATATTTTTTTGTTGTTGGCATTTGTAAAATATGAAATATTATTGTTAAGTAAATACAGGCATTGATTGATTGCTACCTGTGTTCACACAAACAACATGTACAATTAAATATTATATTATGCTAACTTGTTGAGTAAATAGATATAATGTTTAAATAAATGTTTTATTTTCAAGATTTAATTGTCAACTAAATAATGTAGATTTTAAATATATAATAAATGTACTGTCATATACAATCTAGATTTTTATTGATTACATGTTGGTAACCTTGATATTGATAGTAGGCATCATATAATTATATGATGCTTAATTAATGCAAACATCAGAATAGCATTAATAATATTAACTATGTTAAATAAAAAATTTCTTGGATTATTATGGCAGTAACTTTTGGTTAATACAATAAATTATTAAATTAAATCAGTTATCAATATACAAATCAGCAAACTTAATTGATTATTTTTATTATGGATAATCAAGTCAGTATCAATTAGTTTAGCTAGCATTGAATTTAAATAATACTACTTGTACATCAATTGTTTGGTGTTACATGCACTTTATATTTGCAGTGTGATCATAATAAAAATTTATTAAAATATATACCAGGTTTAATAAAATCACAATAACGTAAATACTCTACTAGTGTCTTATTATGTTATTTCGATATGACATTTTTATTTATTATAACTAAACTGAAATAAATATTATAGTATGTAATTAGTGATCAATAATAATCTTCTTATTATTTTTAAAAATCTTGTTTAAAAAACAGGATTTCTAATACACGGAAACCCTCTTATAGTGTATAAATATTAAAATTCTTTACTTATTTGAAAAAGTTAACTTAAATAATTTCACCCAAATCCTAATATGATAAATATTTAAACTCAATAAAAAAATAACAAATTTTCAATTCAGCAAACTTTAATCAAAAATAAAACAAAAACAAAATACAATAATAGTAAAAATTAACCACTGACAATTATCTCATTGATCTCGGCGCAACTTTGTTTCACTTCCGTAATCTTTATATTAACCTCAACATCGGCTGTCAGGCCGGCCAACACCGCACACCCGGCGTCCACTTTGGCCACAAACTCCTGCACAGTCTTCACAATAGCCGCGCATTTTGTCTTAACCGCCTCTTTGGTGGTCTTCTTATAAGTCTTGATAAAGTCCTGCAAATGTTTTTTAATTACAGCCAAAGTATTGCCACAATCTTTGCCCCATTCCAGCACTTCGGACAGGTTTAGGTCAGCCTCGCCCTCAGCTGACAGGTGTATGTCTAGTCGGGCCGTGAGATCACCCCCGGAGCCGCAGGTGGAGCTGCAGACGCCGCTCAATAGGTCGACCGCTTTCAGCACTTTGTCCAGTATTACGCCCCCGATGTCTACCAATAGTTTTCCCAATAGTGAGTTGCATTCAGTGAAGTTAACTGTAGGTAAAACATGTAAGTAAAGCTAGCAAGATTTATGGGGGTGGCAAGTGGTGTTTGAGCAAGTTAGGTTAAGTTAGCTTACGGTCCAATTCAGCACATCTCGGGTAACTGAGTTCGCACGCGGTGTTAATGCCGACAAATGCCACCAAACATAGGACCAGTAGAGAGAAACGCATTATTGTTTTTAACCGAGTTGATTGATTATCGGTAATTTGTTAAAGGTAATTAGTGGTGATAGTTATGTGAATGCGGAACAATTTGTAGTTTCCTTATATACCATGGCAAAACTCTTTGTCCTGGGGTAATTAATCTGGGACCATCTATGTCGAAATAATTTTATTGTTTTATTTGTTCTAGTTATAATAATAATAAAATTTTATCAGTGATTTTGAATAATGGCCAGACATTTACATTTAATTTGACTGTTATAATTCCGACTATGCTGATATTATGGAAAAATAATATAATAAAAATACCTTTTTACTAATTAAAATTTAATTATTTATAAGATATAAATTGCGAAGTAATTCAATGGGGAATATAAGGGAGGTTATTTAAAAATTCAGTTTTAAATATTATCATTTGTTTATTTTTCATCAAATAAAAAATCACCTTATCTAATAGAATACAGTAACTTTTCATAATAATTATAACAATGTAATTATTGTAGTATTTAATGGCAACAGTGACATCTAGGTATACAATAATGGGCTAACCATGCATCTCACATTTAAGATCACTCTACCTTATTTTATTTATTATTTGATAACTTATCAGTGATATGTAGGTTATTATGTCTAATAAAATAAATTTATGTAATTTGAACCATATAATATGGTAGATAATTTAATCGTGCTAATTACAGTGTTTATGACATTAATACCCTTGATTGAATGTAACAAAGGATTTGCATGTTATATAAAAGGTTGACAACTTAATTTTTAGAGTAAATGTATCATGTTAATTTTATAATTGATGTTTTTAATTATTAAACTAGTTAAGTAATTGTAAACTAACATTAATTAATCGTTAAACAAGATTAAATTAATTTTATTGATAATAATTTGTTATACAGTGCAACTTCTCTTGGGTGAACTTCTCTTGGATGAACACCTCCTCATAATGAACGGTTTTGAAATTTATGTTAGATTTCCTATACTTATAATGTTAAAATAACCTCCCTTAGGTGAACTTCTCCATAATGAATACTTCCCCATTATGAACGGATTTATAGAGATTAAGATAAAACTTTCACTCCCAATAATGAACAAATAAAATATTAAGCAAATGATTCCTAAAAGTATTCAAAATAGTTTCTAATCTAAGACTTTAAGCAAACAAAATCACATTTTAATATCAAGTTTCATTCAATATTGTAAAAGATGTGTATTTCTTTGATTAGTGAACTTTAAATTATTACTTGATATCTAAATAACTCATCCGATGCTCAAATATTTGAACAATTGGACAAAATTACAACTAATGCATTTAATTGTCACTTAAATATAGCTAAACAAACTAAAATTGCTGATTATTTTCAAAAATTGCTATTATTTATAAATATTCATCAAAAATAAGACATTTTTACTCGAACCTCCCTTGAATGAACCCTCCCTATAATGAACACTTTTGTCGTGCAACTGGCCGTTCATTATAGAGAAGTTGCACTGTATAAGCAAAAAATAACAGATAATATAATATTGAAGTTTTTTGTTTGGTTTCAATAAATTATCATTTAATATATTTTTAAATGATTTTCCAATACTTGCCTTAAACTCAATTCATTGCTATTTATGTAATACTTATTGTAAACAAAGTGTCGGAAAATTTCTGGTAAATTATAAAAGAAATAAATAAATATTTATTTAAAACACAAATAGAAATAGTTATAAAACGATAAACTAATATACAGTACGTGTAAAAATGTAATAAGCATTTAATCTAATGTTTGTCTGGAGGGGGGTTCGAGTAAAAATGTCTTATTTTTGATGAATATTTATAAATAATAGCAATTTTTGAAAATAATCAGCAATTTTAGTTTGTTTAGCTATATTTATATATCATTAAAATAGTAGACACAAAGAGACAGCAAAGCGTTTAAAAGACTAAATAAGCGGAGAGAGAGAGAACACGAAGCCTGTCAACGAGTTTTTTTGTTAGTATGACTTATGTGTTGGACTGTCTGTGCGGACACGACTGGCGATCCCCAGTAATAGTCAGTAATAGTGTAATACTGTGTTATGTTTTCATTATGAATGTTTACACGACTAGTAATTAGGTCCCGATTACCCCGATTAGGGTCGGTGTACAGCACTTCCTCACCAAACACTACGTGGGAATCGCATATTAGACGACGCTTTCATTCTCGACATGACTGGTAGAGTGAACTTCCCTTCCCTTATGATTCATATATACTTTATATACAGGTATATACACAACGGCCCACAACACCATCACCCGACACATCCATTCCCAAAACCATAGATAATGCCGTTTACGACAACACGTCTTGTAATTAATGACTACAATCGACAACAAGAGTACAACTAATATTTTTTCTCTCATATAAAACTAAAACATTAAGCCTAATAAATATACTATACGTGAGCCTCCCATTCATCCAAATGCATACACCTATACAACCGATTGGCGCACAATTGCTAACTCAAAAAACAAATTAACGCTTGTATTATGTAATTCATTAAATAATATTTTCGGTAGGGATTGGGATGAGAGGAGAACTCAGGACTAACTATACATTCATTATATAATTAAATATACGATTTGTATGACTAGTCTATAGTTGTCCTCACAATCACAAAAAAAACTATTGCCTCCGTTTTTCTCCCTTTTTTCATATATATTTGATTTGAGTGTCTGTTTTGATGACTACCCCCTCATAACAAAACGCACGCATATCTAAAATAAAGAAATGTGTGATATGTCTGTTCCCTTCACTACTATATATTTATGCATTTTTTTCTCTCGACTCGTATATTTTTTGCTACTACTTTAGCTCAGAGGCATTAAAAAAGATTTTTAATTAAATTTTTAATATGAGAGAGAAAGAGAAAAGAGTGAGAGCGCAGAGAGAAGTTCACAATTTCATCGCTTTTCTCACTATAGTGTGAAAGTTGTGATTAATTTTTTTGTGCACGAATTTCTCTATCGATTTTTTTTGCTGCACTGCTTTATATTTCATTTAATAAATTTATGTATTAAAAAATGGAGACCTCGTGTACTAGTAATTAGACGTTTTGTTGCGAGCGCTGTGCGGAGGTATGGTATGGGAGATGAGCTTAACTACGGTTGTGAGCAAAAGTGTGGATGTGATGCGAGTCCGGGAAAGTATGGGGATATATGGATATATGGAAGGGTAATCACAGCGAGATGTCTGATTTGGTCGACTCGCCCTCATTCTACTTACATTACATACTGTGTATTCATATCAATACAGACAGACATGAGGGGTGTTGTGGGGCTGAGGGCTCGGGCAGAGTTGGGATTCGTGTTCTTCTCATTTAGTTATGAGAATTTGTTGGTATATATCGTGTGATACCTTCTTCTCCACCCATTCATATGAATATTGAGCTCATAATGAAATAGTCATTAACTGATGGCAACCTTTGTATGTAATGCATAAATCAGCGAACAATCTGTACGATAATGAGTATTAGTATCGCCTTATTATTAGCGATCAGATCAACACTGCCTTTACCTTTGGATTCACTATTAGATCTCGTTTTTTCATTTGCATCAATAAAATAAAAATATTTGATAGTATTATACATTATATGTATTATATATTATGGTTGATATAAGAGTAGAAAACAATAAAAATTGTAATGAAGAGCACCTGCAAGTCAATACAGCCTTTAATTAAAATTGCATATAATATGATAAAATCAATATTAATGTAAATTATATGACATTTGCAAATATAAGGTTAAAAAGTTATTACTATAACTAAGGATTTAATGTCTGATATTTTTAATTCAGAGCATAATAATTATGTCGTTTTGATATTCAATTCATTTCAATTTCAATACACATATAAGTCATTAAATATAGTGATTGAGAAGAAACATCATTTCATTAATGAAAAATCTAAAACATTAGCCCAAACGAGAGGAATGAATATAATTGAAAAGTTTTTTGAAGAAATCATTAAAATTCAATTTAAACGCGAAGAATAAAATAAATGGATTCAAAATATTTTTCTTTAAAAACCATAACTTCAAAACATAAACTTTTATCCAAATTAGTAATAAAAGTCAATATAAATTTAATTTAAAAATTTTGTTTTTCAAAACTTTAAGAAAATAAACTTTCCGTTCGTTAAGAGTGCAAAAAATGGTGTAGTTTTTTAACGAATGCTATACTTTATTAAGAATTTCTTTTACCAAAACATTAATCAAATTTAATCATTGGATGGAAAGAGTAGAATAAGAAGCAGAAGAGTATCAAAATTGACAAAAATATTTCTCAAATGGAAATTAGGAATTAAATGTTGAAATCTCTGCGAAAACGCAATATATTATACAGAAATGAAATCTAATATATACTGAAAATCTAATTTCAAAACTTCACAAAACTTAAGAAATATTAAAAAAAGATAAACATTTTAATTGCGCTCTTTATTGGCATTCATCCGACCGTTAATAATGTTTTATAAGGAATTCGTTCCTTCTTTTGTATATACTGTAAAAATTTCTTTTAATATAATTGTATTGAAATAAAACAATTAAATTCTAAAATCAAATTCTGAGATCAAAATCTCAAATTAGATAAAAAGAGTAGAGAATGGAAATGAGAGAAAAAAGGAGAAAATAATTATAAAATTCTTAAGTGAAGCGTAAACTCAGAGAAAATTTTTCTAATGAATTAAATGGATTATTGATGAAGAAAAACAAAATTATATATAAAATTATAAGAATAGGCTTTTATTAAGAGGAGAAATAATAATAATAACAAACGCGACAAGAAATATGTTTTGTGGCTAAAAATTGCATATAATGTATGAGAAAAAACCCAAATTTTATTTATTTTAAAACTCATGAATAAGTAATATAATTATAAATGAAGAGAAGAATAGATGTATAGATAATTATGATTCTCTTACCTGAGATTTTTGACTAATTTCTGAGTCTATACTGAATGAAGTGAATGCGAATATAATGATAATTGTTATGTTGCTGTCCTTGTGTGAGGTATTACACCGATTATTA